TGAGAAGGTAGAGCAGCTGAGGCAGGTGAGAAGGTAGAGCAGCTGAGGCAGGTGAGAAGGTAGAGCAGCTGAAGCGGGAATGCAGGTTGATTCCAGGTCTGCTGCAGGTCAGTTTGAGGGGCAGCGAAGGAAGGAAGCCATGAAGCTCTTCCTGTCAGGCTAAGCTAACGGTTGTCATGGGAATGTGCTAAGCTTACGGTTGTCATGGGAATGTGCTAAGCTTACGGTTGTCATGGGAATGTGCTAACCTGGCCATGTGTCCCGGTTGCCACGGTAACCCTCTGCCTCTCTCCAGCCCTGTATCAGCAGTCCTGTGAGGAGTACCGGCATCAGGGGAAGAGCTCGGGCCTCTACTGGATCGACCCTGATGGCAGTGGCCCCATGGCCCCCCTCAGGGTCCACTGTGACATGACAGGTGAGTGTGTCCAGCGCTGGTTGAGCTCCCCGTCCTCCGTCTCACGTTTCATGTCCCGTTTCAGAAGCAGCGGTTTGGAGCACGCTGAAGAACAACCTGCCTCCTCAGACGTCCGTCTCTGCTGTAGAGAGGAACGGGAAAGCAGCGCTTCAGATCCTTTACAACGCCACTGAAGATCAGGTATCTGCTGCTCACATCATCCATCTGGGGTCATGGAACCAGTTTGAACCAGTAACCAGAACCATTATGGTCCTTATTATTAATGGAATCCAATGTTTTATCATCAGTTATGGAGAAAATGGATTTTTTTCTGATGCATTTTGCTCAAATTCACATTTAATAAAACATTTTCACAACTCTGAACTTTTCCAGGAAACATGTTTTTGTAAAACATGAGAAATAAAAACGCATTTTTTGGGAGGAGTTGAAAGCGGTGAAGAAAGATGGCTGATGCTTCAGACAGGGAGGAGGGACAGGATTGGTGGACCAATCAGGAAACGGAAGCTTTAAACAGCCTCCATTTTATTTTACAATCAGAAAACATATTTTCCTTTTTAATGGACTAAATCCTTTATTCTCTTTTTTTCTTTACTCCCCATCCCCCCTGCGCCCCCTCCCATGGGGGTGTTGTTGCCTGTTGCTCTCAGATGTCATTAAAACTGGGAGGACCAAAGGGGGTGTCCAGAACAGTCCACCCCCCCACCGGGAGACAGCGCACCCCCCCATTCAACAACCCAGGACCCTCAGAGTCTAAATGCTGTGAGAGGGGATGGGGGGGAGCCGACCGTGGTGAGGCCCATAAAATAAGCCCCCCCCTGGTTGCCCTTGAAACCCCCACCCCAAACAGTGCCCTACATAGATGTGTGTTTTGAAAATGTTGTAGATGGAAGTGCCTAAAATACAAAATAAGATGGG